TCAGGCCGGCAGTGGCAGAAGCAGGGGGTTGGTGGGGGTGGCACCTTCCTCTGATCTGCCAGGTCGCCTCCCCCAGAGGGAAGCCAGACTGCGGCTTAGGCCAGGGCTGAGGCAGAGGCGGTTAGGGGCAATCAGGCCAGCAGGGGAGCAAGTTAGGGGCTATCAGGCTGGCAGGGGGCAAGGTAGGGGTGATCAGGCTGGCAGGCAGAGGGAGTTAGGGGCGATCAGACAGGCTGAGGGGTTAGGGGCGATTAGGCAGGCAGAGGGATTAGGAGCAATCATGCAGTCAGGCAGGCGAGTGGTTAGGAGCTAGCGGTCCTGGATTGTGAGAGGGACATCTGACTGCTGGTTTCCCTGTGGGATCGGGCCTAAACTGGCAGTCAGACATCCCCCGATGGTCCCAGATTGAAGAGGGTGCAGGCCAGGCTGAGGGAACCCCCCCTCCTGTGCATGAATTTTGTGCACTGGGCCTCTCGTATCTACATTAATATTTGAAATCCTTCTGAATGGCATATTGGCCTACTCATTTTAAGTCATTTATTTTTATCGCAAGGAGTTTATAAATATTTATTTTATACTTTAGGTAATAGCCCAATGCTATCTTATTGATTGATTGATTGATTGATTTAGTTTTGCTCAAATTGTTCTAGATTTGGCCACTGAGAGATTTTTCAGTTGACTTTCTTCATCCTTTTGAAATATCTTCATTGTGTGTGTGTGTGTGTGTGTGTGTGTGTATGTGTGTGTGTGAGCATTTTCTTTCTGGCAATACCAGATGCTCTAGACATCTTGTATATTTTCTACCTCAGTCCAAGAATCAGTCATTTCCAAGTTCTTTTGTGGAAAAATGGTATTACAAATTAAGGCGAGAGTGGTAGTTGTGTTTTTTGCTATTGGTGTCATTGTGTTTAAGTTCTCTCAGCTGCCAACTCTAGTACATTACACATGGATCATTCTAGCTTTATTTATCTGTAAACTCCCACTGCAAATATATACTGAGTGGCCAGATTATTATGACCACCTGACATTTGTAGGCAAATTAGGTATAATTTCGCGCTGAAGTTGCTAGAGGGCCAGATCATTATAAACATCTGAATAGCACAACATACCTAAGTATCATTGCTGATCAAGTTCATCCTATCATGTTGATGGGGAATGAAGTACTGATAGGCTGGTCATAATAATCTGGCCACTCAATGTATATATGTAATGTGTTTTAGAATTGATAATCTCTAAGCCCATACGAAAAATGTTTATCAACTATAGTACAGTTATTATGTACAGTTCATTTTGCTTTTGGTCTTTTAGAGTGCACTTATTTTCAGTTACTCAGGTCAGCACCGTATTCTTTTGTAAGTTATTTTAGACATTTGTAATGCATTTTGATTATTTAGATTATTTTTTAGTATTTTGCCTTTCATCCTGGAATTCCCTAACCATCTAATTTATTTTTTCATTTGAATATATCAACATTTACTCTGTAATGTGAAGTTCCATGGGTTTTGACAAATGCTTAATGTCTTGTATTTACCATTATAATACCATACAGAATAGTTTTACCTCCTTAAAAGATTCCCATGCTTTACCTATTCAACTCTCTAACGCTCTCCAAAACTCCTAGAAAATTCTGCCTTTTTTAAATTCTAAATTAGGACTAAATATTTCCAGAGGTAACCATCACAATCCAGGGATGTTTCTCTCATAAAGGAATGATTGATGGATTGATTGATTGATTAGAGAGAGAGGAGAAGGAGAGAGAGAGAGAGAAAGAGAGAGAGAGAGATGGATTTGCTGTTCTACTTATTTATGCACTCATTGGTTAATTCTTGTATGTGCCCTGACTGGATATGGAACCTGCAACCTTGGCTTATTGGGATGATGCTCCAACCAACTGAGCTACCCCACCAGGGCCATAAAGGAATTTTTTTAAACAAATGCTTTCTGATGTAGGGTTTCTTAGTGATCAGGGCTTGTGAGCCTTTATTTTTTAGATTTATTTTCAGTTACTGTTGGTATCTACACTAATAAAAGGCAAAAATGCAAATTGACCATACCTTCACTACACCTTAAGCCATGCCCACCAGCCAATCAGAGCGACTATATGCAAATTAACCCAAACAAGATGGCAGCCAGCAAACTTGGAGCTGGAGCAAGCAGGAGGCTTGGTTGCCCCAATGATGGAGGAAGCCAAGCTTCCTGCTTGCCGCGGCAGGCTCTGAGCTCCACTCAAAGCAACCAAGTTTCAATTATAGAAGATAAATAAACTCCAGATACCTGCTTTCAGCCCGCTGTGGCCACGGAGCTTGAGCGAGCAGGAGGCTTCCCTCCCACCCGCCCTGGCCAGCTCTGAGCTCCTCTCAAGGCTACAAAGTTTCAATTATTGAAGGTAAATAAATCCCAGAATAAAAAAAAGGAAAAGAAAAAAAGGAGAGGGGGGCTTGGTCAGCCTGAAAACGGCCCTCAGCCCCTCACCCAGACTGGCCAGGCACCCCAGTGGTGACCCCCCCACCCTAAAGGGGGTGTGGCCAGCCTGAAAACAGCCATCAGCCCCTCACCCAGGCTGGCCAGGCACCCCAGTGGGGACCCCCACCCTGAAGGGGGTGTGACCAGCTGCAAAGAGCCATCAGCCCCTCACCCAGGCTGGCCAGGCACCCCAGCAGGACCCCCACCCTGATCTGGGACACCCTTCAGGGCAAACCAGCCAGGCCCCACCCATGCACCAGTCCTCTATCCTATATAATAAAAGGGTAATATGCAAACTGACCTTAACAGCAGAACAACTGGGAGTGACTGGTCACTATGACACACACTGACCACCAGTGGACAGACTCTCAATGCAGGAGCTGCCCTCTGGTGGTCAGGTCGCTCTCACATGGGAGGAGCTCTGCTCAGCCGCAAGCCAGGCTGATGGCTGCCAATACAGCGGTGGTGGTGGGAGCCTCTCCTGCCTCCTCAGCAGTGCTAAGGATGTCTGACTGCACCTTAGGCCTGCTCCCCGCTGGCAAGTGGACATCCCCCGAGGGCTTCCAGGCTGCCAGAGGGATGTCTGACTGCCAGTTTGGGCCTGATCCCCCAGGGAACGGGCCTAAGCTAGCAGGTGGACATATCCGACAGGTCCCAGACTGCAAGAGGGCATAGGCCGAGCTGAGGGACCCCACCGAGTGCACAAATTTTTGTGCACCAGGCCTCTAGTAAAATATTATATCAGTTTCAGGTGTACAATATAGTGATTAGACATTTATATATCTTATGAAGTGATCAGCCGATATGTTTAATACCCATCTAACTGTAAGCCTTTATTTTTATCTTGCTGGTATTTATCTAAGCAACATAAAGCAAACTATCTCAACTTGGAGTCAAACATCATTGTAAGTCGGGGAAGATGATGAATGAATTTGAGAGGACAAAAGAGTGAATTGACAGGTCACGTTGAATTTGTGTTTTTAATTTTCAAAATCTGTTTCAAAATATTTTCTTGAATCATGATTTAATAAATTTGAAATTGTTACTTATATTTTATTCTGAAGGGGATCCATCCTCCCTTGCTACCCTTCATCCTCTCTTCTTTTCTCTTCCTTACTTCTTCCTATGCAAATGTTTACTGAGTGAATACCTATTTTTTGCCAGGTTCTATATAATAGATGCTGGAAATGCACAGGTGAAAAAGTTATCCCTGTCCTCAAGGACTTTCCACATTATTTTTGAGGCAGGCAGATATGAAGAGGCAATTACTATATAGTAATAGTTGTTCTATTGGTGCAATAGGCACACACTGGAATAGAGGAGTGACTCTCTCTTGGAGGATCAGGGAAGGTAAGAGAGATGACACCTGCCTGAATGAATGTTCATGTTTGAGATAAATTTAGTGCATTTGAGGCAAGAAGCATGACCTCTGAAAACATCTTGGCAGATCAGACAGGATGACAAAATTGAGGAGCTACCAGTTAGTTATAGCTGGAATGGACATGTCAGTTGAGGTGGATGGAGATGGAATTGGGGGCAAATCAAGCAATGAAGGTCCTTGAGTTTAGATCTTATCCTGGGAATAATGAGGAGGCTACTCAAGGATAGGGAACAAGGGCATGGCACTTTAGAAAACTCACTTTGGCAGGGAACTTGGGGGGGGGGGAAATTAGAAAGCATATGAAATTTGATCCTAGAAAACTTCACAGATGGCTATTACAATCAGGTTGGAAGATGATGAGGGTCTGCTTTAGGTCAGTGCGAGAAGTCAAGGAGCAGTGAAGTAGTATATGAGAAATATAATAATAAAAATAAGGAAGTAAATAAAAGCCAGACTGGCATGGCTAAGTAGTTGAGCATTGACCTATGAATAGGAGGTCACAGTTCCATTCCATGGTCAGGGCACATACCCAGGTTGCAGGCTCGATCTCCAGTGTGAGATGTGCAGGAGGCAGTCAGTCGATGATTCTCTCATCATCGATGTTTCTATCTCTCTCTCCCTTTCCATTCCTCTCTGAAATCGATAAAAATATATTTTAAATAAATAAATAAATAAATAAATAAATAAATAAATAAATGACGTGCAAAGGGGAAGGAGGTAGTGACTTAGTAGTGAACGGTGAAGTTGAGAATGTTCTATATATCCCACTAAACTTTATTCTCATTAGAGGGAACTTGAAGCCTTGATGACAAAAAGGTACTATTTGTGCAATTTTATATTGAATATTGTATTATTAAGTTTCCAAGAATAAGTGTCAACATTTCCACAAAAGTGTTAATTCAGGAAGGAACATGTCAAGGTATTTCTTCTCATTAAGACATTAAATCTTATCAAAAGGGAAGCAGATTTAAAAAAGATTTTAGAGTTTGTGGCATGTCTATGACATGAAAATGAATTTAAACTTAAGACTCTATAAGGAAATATTTATTATAGTTTATTGGACATATAATTTATGGAGACTGAAGTGTTCACCCATATTAGTATTCACAAGTTTATTCTAGAGTTTAATCTGAAATGAATTTTCTTTCTTTGGCAGGATGATTCTTTAAAGCAATTGCAGGTGGTTCACCAACCATGGATCTTGCCAAGTGACACAGAAAGTGAAGGAGTGGAAGCAGAACAAGAGAAACGTGAGTAGACTCTACTGTTTATTGACAGATTGCTTTTAGCCAAAGGAAATCTACACTGAAGGTCTATTCCTTTCATAACATCAGATGTTGTCTGCAAAAAAATTCAGACTTGACTAGGAAACCATGCAAAGATAAGCTATATTTCAGGTATATAGATCTTGATTCAATTATGTCATAATTATGTCGCAGAGAACCATAAACTCATTTTCTGAGAACAAGTACAGAACCTTACAAGAAGAAATTGTTCTTCTTGAACACTAACATAAATGTCCATTTAAAACAGGGGTCCTCAAACTACGGCCCGTGGGCCACATGCAAATACAAATATTGTATTTGTTCCCGTTTTGTTTTTTTACTTCAAAATAAGATATGTGCAGTGTGCATAGGAATTTGTTCATAGTTTTTTTTTAAACTATAGTCCGGCCCTTCAATGGTCTGAGGGACAATGAACTGGCCCCCTGTTTAAAAAGTTTGAGGACCTCTGATTTAGAATGTGAATCTTCTATCCTGTATAATAAAACCCTAATAAGCAAATCGACCAAATGGCTGAACGACCAGTTGCTTTGACGTGCACTGACCAACAGGGGGCAGACGCTCAATGCAGGAGCTGCCCTCAGCCCGCAGGCCCCAGGCCAGCCAAGGTGGGTGCCAGTGGGGGCCCCCTGATCACCCTGCCGGTTGCCCCACAGAGGGAGGTGACCGGCGGAGGCAGGGGCGGGGGCGGTGCCAGGCCAGCCAAGGTGGGTGCCAGCGGGGGCTCCCTGATTGCCCTGCCGGTCACCCCACAGATTGGCCCTCATTGCTGGCCAGGCCTAGGGACCCTACTCATGCACAAATTTTGTGCACTGGGCCTCTAGTAAACATATAATTAGAACAGTGATAACTTGTGATTATTTTTAAAAAATCAAAATATGTTAGGAACAGTTTATTATTGTATATAAAATTATCATTATTAGCTAAATGAGCAAATCTATACATATAAAAACCTACGTGACCATTACAACCGAACGACTGGAACGACCAGAACGACTGGTCAACTGGTCACTGTGATGCACACTGACCACCAGGGGGCAGACACTCAAAGCAGGAGCTGCCCCCTGGTGGTCAGTGCACTCCCACAGCCAAACTTCTGCAGCTGGCCAACCTCCCCCAGTCCCTCCCCATGGTCAGCCAACCTCCCCCTGTCCAGTCACTCCTCCCGGCCAGCCAACTTCCTACAGCCCTTCTCCCTGTCCTTTCCACTGGCTGGCAGTCCACAATTGGCCCGGCCCTGATCTGCCTGGCCCCGATCCGGTCTGGGCGAGAAGGCCCTGATCGGCCCTGATGACCCGCCAGGCCTAGGGACCCCGCCCCCCCCCCCCCCCCGTGCATGAATTCATGCACTGGGCCTCTAGTATATAGAGAGAGTTGATCCTTAAACAACGCCTAGTGTTAACCACAAGCCTTACCGATAGCATAAACAATTGATTAACACATTTTGTATGTTATATGATGGTGTTCCAAAAGGTCTCTGAGGAACTGTTCACTTTTCTTCATTTATTTTTAAGAATTCCTCAGAAGTTCCTTAGATTGGATTTCAATGGACCTATCTTAAGTTCTTTGATCCTTTCTTATGCCAACTCAAATATGTTGTTGAGACCCTTTAGTGAATTTTTTCATTTTAATTCCAAAATTTCTATTTTGTTCCCTTTAATAATTTGTATGTTTTAATTGGTAGTCTCATTTGGTGGAAGTTCATTCTCATGTTTTTTAAAAATTTTATTTGACAAGATTTCTTTTAATTCTTTGACTATACTTATCGCAGTTGATGACAAGCTTTGTGTGGTAAAGTCCATCATCTGAGTTTACTCAGGAGAGTTTCTATTGAATGTTTTTTCCTTTTTATGAGCCACACTATCATGTTTATTTGCATGTTTAATATGAGTTATAAAGCATGTCACTTTTTGGTTTGTTTGTTTAAAACTGGACATTTAATATAAGGTGGGAACTCTAGTCATTGGACCATCTTCCTCCCATCCCCAGTTTGTTCTTGCTGCTGTTGGTTCTTGTTATTATTGTTGCTATTTTTTGTTGAGTGACTTTGCTGAGCTGGCTCTATAAAGTCTATATTATTTAGTGTATGCAGCCACTGAAATCCACACTCAGTAGCTTTGTAGTCAATCTTCTATGAGTATTCAGAAAATTCTAAGGTTTCACAAGAATTTCAGGGCATCTGAACTGACACCAGGCAATAAATCCTCAAAATTAGGAATATCAACATTTGCATGTGGGGTAACTTATCATCGTAAATATTTAAGGACTTACCTTTAATCAATAAATATAAAAGTAAATTAATAACTAGTGTTAATTATCTGTTAGAAGCAAAACATTCTAATGCCAAATTGCAATTTTTCTTTCTAATACTGGTTTTAGAAGATATTTTTTGGTTATAAATAAATTTTTTGTCATTTCTAGAGGCCAAATGCCTCTGAATTATTCCTGTGGCCTTCTTACTTTGAAATGTTTCCCATGTCTGTGGTAAAATTCTGATATTATGAATGGTTCAATTGACTTCTAAGCTCCTAGAAAATATTTAAAGGGTAGCATTTAATGACATATCTAACATAATCTCACAAACTAAACTATTATGAAGTATAATGGGAAAATGGGTCAGGTTGCTCAGCAATACATAAAGTTGCATGCTTCAGACTACCTTCTTTGTTTATTAAAATGTCCTTGCCACATGCAATAATGGTCAGAAATTTTTATAACAAGTGTCAGAGAAGCCTGTGTTTAAACAACAAGACAGCCGAACTGTTATTTTGGAGTGCAAGATTCTTTGGATTCGAGCAGTGATTTTCAAATGGTGTGCCACAAGAATTTTTATAACATGGAAATACCTGACTAGTTAGTTAGGGCCACTGACCTCTTTTCCCTTAGATTGTCAAGTAAGAAATGATAACAGCCAACACAACAATATCCGTCTGGTGTGAATGAATCAAAATCATACCTATTCGTTGCGTGTGCAATGAGGTACAAAATATTGAAAATTGCTGGATTAGAGTATGTGTGGAGTTGAATTCTTTAAAATTAAAAATAGGAGATACATGGTCCAATTTTTTGTTATTTTTAAAAATCAAAAGTATGAATGAGTAGCACATGTTTTTAATACTTTCACCAAATACTTTTTGTTTGTCTTGGAATATTCTTATATTTGCTCTAGGTGTGGCTAAATCTTAAAAAAAAAAAAATAGAATAATGGACACAAAATGAAGGAAAGATCTAGTTTATTCTTTAACTTTGATGGATTTAGCTTATATGGAAGCCTTATATCAGATGGAAAGTATCTTTACAAATGAGAAGAATGTATTGGCTGGCTGCAAGTCTTTTGCATGTGTTTACAGTTTTCCCAGCACCATTTATTGATGACACTATCCATTCCCCACTGTGTAGTTTTTGTGTCCTGGTGTTAAATTAGTTGACCATATATATTTGGGGTTTATTTCTGGGCTCTCTATTTCTGTTCCACTGGTCCATGTGTGTACTTTTATGCCAGTACTATACTGTTTTAATTACTATAGCTTTGTAATATAATTTGAAATCATGAAGTGTATGCCATCAATTCTGTTCTTCATTCTCAAGACTGATTTGACTACTCAGTGTCTTTTGTAGTAATTTTCTTTTCTTTTTCACCTATTTTATTTAGTTTTTATTAAACTATATATTTGTTAAGGGATTAATATCCAAAATATGTAAGAACTCATACAACTCAATAGTAAAAACAAACAAACACCTATTTAAAAAATGGGCAAAGACTTCAATAGACATTTTTCCAAAAAAGACATACAAATGGCCAACAAGTACATGAAATGGTGCTCAACACCATTAATAATCAGGGAAAAGTGAGCAAAACCATAATGAAATATCATCTCACATGTCTTAGAGTGTGTATTATAAAAATAATAAAAGATAAGTGTTGGTGAAGATGTGGAAAAAAAGAGAACACTTGTACATTGTTGGTTAAATGTAAATTGATTGTTAAGCCATTATGAGTAACAGTGTGAATTTTCTGCAAAAACAAATTAGTACTACCATATGATCTAACAATCTCTCCTCTGGTATACACCCAAAGAATATGAAATTAGCACCTCACGAGAGAGCTATGCTCCCATTGGAGCAGTATTCACAATAGCCAGGATATGGAAACAACCTAAGTAGCTGCCAATAGATGAATGGACAAATAAATTGTTATATGTATTACAATGGAATATTATATGCCTTTTTTAAAAAAAAGATCTGGTAATTTGCAACAACATGGATGAATTTAGAGAACATTATGCTTACTGAAATAATCCAGACACAAGAAGAAAAAAATGTGATTTCACTTATATGTAGAATCTAAACAAGTCAAATACATAGAAGCAATGAATAGAATGATGGTTACTGGGGCCGGGATATGGGAGAAATAGTTAGATATTTGTCAAGGGCTAAATAGTTGCAGTTATGTAGGATAAATATGTCTAGAGATCTGATGTACAACATTTAATGTGTAGTTAATCATACCATATTGAATACTGGAAATTTGCTAAGAGAAAGGTAACTAGAATTACCCATAATATCACCACTCAAAATATTCTCCATTATTATTTTGGGGTTTGATCACATGGTCTTGTCACCATGCATGCCTGTTTATTTTTTATTAAGTATTGAAATTATATATGAAAAATTAGATAATTTGAGGCCTAAAATGATATTAACTTCTTCCAAGCGAACATTTTTCTTTGTTTCAGTAAGAAGTATTCCTAGATTATTTGAAATTCAATAAAAAATTTGAGATTTTAAGTTGGGCTTTATTCATTAAGCGGGCTGCCATATTCCCATGTTGCCCTTACTCTTTTCCCCTCAGAGTAGCAGTCCCAAACCTGGGGAGTTTATTTGAGTCACCTTCCTCAGTAACACTGGAGCTCCAGTTCTAGAAGGGTTTTTTCAGTCTCTCTTTTGGTTGTCAGCTCCTCAGAATTTATTTCAG